TTGTAATAACACTTCATTTTGCTCATACTGGACTACAAAATGAAGTACCTTTTTTCCATTATGGATTTCTGTGTTCCTCACTCATTGATATGTGAGAGAACCATAGTTCCTGTATGTTTTTTTCACAACCATGGTGGTCAAATACTGATGGAAGATGCACGGAAAGGTTATGTTGTTCTGTCCTTGGAGGTATTTAAGACTCACTGGAGCACAGCCTGAGCAGCCTGATTAAACAGACCTGTTTTGGGCAGGGGTTGGACTCAGAGACACCAGAGGCTCCTTCCTATCTCATTTATTCTGTGGTTCTGGCTTCCTCCCAGGCTTGTTTGGTACACACACCTATGACTGTAAAGGAAGGCCTGGTCTTTGCTGGGAAGTCGTATTTTTGATCGCTGCTTTTAGTGACAGCAGCTGTATATGCTCCTAATTTTCTGTTGGGACATTCATGAATTGTCACTGCTTCCTTAGCAATGAGATTGCTGAGCAGATGCTCTTGTTAGAAATTGGACAATTTCTTACTTGTCATGAGGCTCCAGAAATAATCAGCATTTAGAACAAAAATTTCCTGTAAATTTTTTGTGTTCTCAGGTGGGTTATGAGTTTTCTCTCTTGTGTAATGGGTGCATAAATTAGTGTACAAAGTAAAAAAAAGAAAAAAGTTCTTTTATTATTTTTGCATTTGCATTTTCAAGCTGCTTTTGTGACAGTATAGGTTTCATAGCGTTGTAAATTTCTCTATAAGAGAAATAAAAATAATGTAGTTCTGTGAAATATAGAGGTTTTGAACTGCTTCTGCTTTATATATATTTGACTCTATGTCATTAGCAGGGCAAAATAAAGTGAAATGTTTTCAACACAGCAGTCATTAGGCCATCACAGTGCTATTGATCTTTGTCCTTCGTGGAGTATTAATATTTTTAATGGCACAAACACTGTGTACAGGACTACTCTGTGAAAAAAGTGCTGAACATAGGTCATCATCTGTCGCATTTGCTACCCATTAAGTCTTACTAGTGAAAAGTTCAGTAGTAGTAATCACCTTTCCTCAGATGAAAGAAATGGTGTGACTTTTTAAATTTCATGAGTGCAAACTTGTTAGTGATTTGAGAGACACCCATTATATTCATTACCCAAGAGAAGAATAATTCCTTACACTCAGGATAAGGCTGCATGCATGTGTGAAAAGTGGATAGGATGAAGAATGAGTAGCTTTATGTAGAAATAGGGAGGGAGTGAACTTTCTGAGACACATTTTCTGAACTGTAACACAGACACAGCTTTGACAAGCATTTTTTTGAAATGGTAGCTGTAATCATTTTCTGAGTCAGTTCTTGTCTTAGCTGGCATTGCCTTCGTAAAGGTGCATTCTGATTTCATTTAAACTGTGTAAATACAGAGGTGCCTCTACTGTGGGAATGATGTGACAGAATAAGAGGGAAGATGGATCAGAGATCCTAGATCAAGCCCAAGTGTAGGCAGAAATGGTTTGGAGAATGCTTTCATCAGTTTTTCTACACCCTGATAGTGGATGAGGAATAGAGATACTTTGATTATCAACCAACAATTCCAAAATTCATGGCCATGAGGGAGATGACCTGTTCTGTGAGCAAATTCCATAACAGAATTTTCCTCTTTGCCTGGGACTCCCAGGGGTTGCCTCCACTGGGTTTATGGAACAGTATAAAAAATCTGAAATCAGTTAAAGGGGAAAAAAGGTCCTGTCATGTATTAAGTACATAACTAGGGAACAGATTGTATTATTTTGCTCTGTTATTGAGTGAAATATTTATTGAATGCAAATTCAGCCAAGCAAGTACAAACTTGTTTAAACTGACAAATTGACCGAGGCAGATACAATGTGCAAATTCTCATGTTTACATTCAGTACAAGTTAATGATGGCACAAGGAAATATAAGTAGTAAAGTATAATAATACTGTAAATAGTATGAAATTAGTAATGAGAGTTGGTATGAAGATGTGTAAAGTAAATATAATTGGTAAAGGAAGAGGTGAGATCCAAATAGAAAAAGAGAAAATTGAGTAACGTTGCTCTAGACACACTTTAATTTATGTACATTACCAAAAGTGTACAGCCAAAGTTGGTTAAACAGTTGTTCACTAAGATTTTGTTGATTTATAGACTGAGTTTATATCAGAATTTGAAACTGGTTCATGAAGAACTCACTCCAGAGTGTGTTCCCTGCTGCCCCCATGGTACAGATGATAGTAATGTTCGTGGTCTGATTGTTTGCTCTCCTTGTAGGTTTATTCAACTGGTCGAGTGCTGTACTTCTACCAGAGAAAAAAAAGAAAAACAAGATGAAAGTGTTCATTTTGAAGATAAATGAACTTTTCCAGGCTACTTTGTTTCTCTGTAGAGACATGACATGTTAAACTGTTCAACATCTGGGAGCATTTGTCCCTGTGGATTAACTGAGTGCTAAACTGCCATCCCATTTTCCTGGAGACTCCCATTATTATTAGGGAATGAACAGCAAGTGCTTAACTGTTTTGACCCAGTCTCATTTCAGAACTGCTGGATATGTAAGCAAATGCTAGATACATTTTCAAATATACATACGCATGTGTCAATATTTTTATTTTTTTATTTACATAAGACCCTAATTACATAACAACTGGGCTTTTTTAGTTCAAGACAATGTAGTTCAGGAAAAGTACTTAATTGATAGTGCTATGAAACCTTCAGAATTATTTATTTATGTAAAAATGCTAGCATTTAGCTTCTGTAAATTAATTAGTTTTAAATATTCAATTAGGTGAATTATTGTAGTCTAATCCCATGATAATTTAGTCTCCCTTTGTACCAGTGTGGCAAGTATCTAAAATGGGACACACCATTTCTGTGAATGTCTGTAACTCAATGTTCTGCTTTGTTTTTCTGATCATAGTTTTACATTTTTTTAATGGCAGAGAATGACAGAGAACTTTCACCTGCTACTATTCTTTCATGTTAAGATAGTTCTGGAGTAGTTTCCATTGTATTCTTTTTCTTGGGTAGTCAGGTGTTGTCTTCTAACAGGAAATTTTAGATCACGTCTAAGAAGTATGTCAAGGACATTAACTTCCTGGAGATGTCTGTTTGTTGCAATGCTGCCAAGATTTTAAAGATTTATCTTTAGTCAACCTAAAGTCATTCATCCACTGTTACTTTTAGGAGCAAGTCACAGTGGTTAAGCATTTTTTTTTTTATTTCCTAGAGGATATAGCAATGTGAGAATGGATAAGCAAGCATACTATCCCTCCTATAAGTGTTTGGCACAGATTGTTCCTTAACAGATCCATTCCTGTTCTGAAATACATTTCTACAGTGACAGGTCACTGCCATACAAATGGTCATTCTTAATAACAGGGAATGATTTACTTGATTATTTACTATTTGATGGTAAGTATTGCTTAGGAGATTTGACAATTCAGTGATTATTCATATCTGTATTTTGAGTGTTGAAATTAGTAATAGCATAGAAAGCATCAACTCTGTTAGTCTGAATTCTAACTCTGTTAGAATTTTTACATTCAGGAATATTTTGAGGTTTTGTATGAATATTTAAATCCAGTAATTTATAGGGTCCTTTATTTTTAAGGAAGATTCATGATATTACTGAATCCAGTGCCTGTGTGACTCCTTTTTTTGTGACATGACTAGTTCTGTAATAGTTTGGTATCTATTATGTAGGGTAATAGTGGAAGTAACATTGAGAAAATTATAGAGGAGATCATTAAGATACAAATTTGAGCTGTTAGGAAGTGGAAATTCCCATTTTATCACCACTACAAGATATTTTAATTGATGTGGAGAAATCACCAAACTTTAGTTTTGGATTACTGTTCTCACAAATGCCCAGTTTCAGAAGTGTAATCATGAATACATAATCAAATCAGGATGCCCTTCTAACAGTTTATCTGGCTATGACAAATTGGGCTAAAGGTTCAGGCTGGGGCAGGACAGTGGTGGCTTCTAGTGTGCTAATCTCTGTGGGGAGAGCAAGCTCAAGCTGTTGTTTAGCCTAGAATAAATCAGAAAAAATGCTGTTCTCCTGTAAAATGGTTGTACCTTTGAGAAGAGGAAAGGAAGCCCTTGGTAGCTGTAGTCTGGGCTGAGCTGGATGGCACCTTCTGTTACCATACCTGTGCAGAGAGGTGCTCAGCACGGGTGGTGCTGCTAAGGAGAAGCTGTGCAGATGTGGGGCTTCTGTGTGACTCTTCTGGCAACTGCTTCTTGAAAACAAAACCTGGGAAAATTCTCTAACTCACTGAGTCAGCTAGCAGCATAAGAAAGAATTAGGGAAATGAACAGATCTCTCTGTGGCTGGTATTTGGTAATGACATGATGATCTCAAGGCACATTGCTCCACTTTCAGAGTGCAGTGAGGTGACTTGCTTAGGGGTTACTGGTAACTGTTGGCACTTCTTCTCCAAATTTTCAATTTCCCCAAATAGTTCTTGGGGGCTGAGGCTGAGAGGGCTACACTTGGAGCAGCCTTAGAATGCTCCTGACATGACCAGCACATGGCTGCCCAGACAAGAATGGTGTGGAAGGACCAATGTTGGTGCAGTGCCATGCTCCCTTTGCAATTCCTTTTGCAGCCCCATTGTCCGTGGAGCTTGGGTTTTGTACCTCTTGAAAACATACCTCTTCTGGCAGCCCCCAAACACTGAACTCGCAGCAGAACTGCAAGCTGACAATATTATTATATGGATTACCAAGTCGATTCTGATTACTTATTACTGACTTGACTTACCTCAAATTAATTCAGAGCTCTATCACCTACTAAAAATCTGTATTTTATGAAATGTGCTGATATTAATAACTAATATCAGTAAAAACTAGGCTTCATTATTTTTTGCATGGATGCATTGAGACTTCTTTGTAATTCTTATGATTTTAAAAGCTATAACATAGAGAAATCATCTCCCATGTCTATGTTTGTACATGTGTCTGTGAAGGGAAATCTTCATGATGTTCATCTTTTCTTTTGCAGTCAAAACCTGTTGCATTTGCAGTTCGGACAAATGTTGGGTACAGTGCAGCTCATGAAGATGATGTCCCAGTCCCAGGCATGGCCATCTCGTTTGAGGCTAAAGATTTTCTTCATGTTAAAGAAGTAAGTAAAATCAGAGGAGTAAGTGAATCACTCTTTAATTACTCTCTTTAAGAGAGTACTTGAGTAATAGTGCTACTATTTTGCAATGTTGATAACACTTCACATTGCCAAAGCACTTTACAAATGTTAAAGAAGTAACAGTGTAAAAGGAATTGAATGTTCTTTTAAATGCTATTCTTGTAGAAGCAATGGCACAAATTTCTTACAATCAAATTAATGAAGTTCAGAAAGCAAGTACTTTTCTTCTCTAGTAAAAATCACTTATTTATAGGTTTAAATGCCTGTCTGACTATTCAAAGATGAAATATTTCTGGGTTTTTTTTCTAATCTGGTACTGTGAGGGTTTGTTGTGATTCAGCAGCCAAGGATTGCTTCTCTTTTATCTGTGTGACTGCATCTCAATTAACCCCAAAATTCTCAAGTCTCCTGGTTTTTTTGACTGAAGCTACTTCCCTGGCACAGACAGTGTTTAGTTAGCAGTTACATGCTGAAGAACTGGAATGATGTTTCAAGATAATTGCAGCTGTCAATAAATGAGCTTTGCATTTGCTGCATTGGTTGTCTTTCCCTGTAGTTTGGTTTTGACAATTTTAAATTTTTAAATACCTAAAGTAATTTTCTTTCTCTGCTCCTTGCAAGACAATCCCAAAAAATAACTTGGTAACTTTCACATGCAGGCCCTCTTCTGTAGCCTGCTGCTCCCTTTTGAATGACTCCTTCATTTTAAAATGTTTACTAGCTTTTGGTCATATTGCATTGTGGCTTGTCTCAAAATAGCCCATCTGGATATGGAAAATTATAGGAAAAGAAACAGAAAGTTAGTTTAAGGTTGAGAGGAACCTAGCCATGTATTTGAAATTATGTCTTTGCCTCATTTTAGACTATCAGAAAATCCCTCAGTGGTTATGATTGATGATGCACAATGATTCTGCTAGCACAGGTGCTGTGTGGAAGAAAGAAACATTCCTAATACAGAGATTGAAATACAGGTGGACAGAGACTAAAGGAACATAAGAAACAGACTTGGCTAATGGTCGTAATTTTTCATGTATATTAAATGCACAAAAAAAGAGTAATTTTGATTTAGACTGTATATAGTGAAGGAACTATACTTTCTGACTGATGATAGTGTGAACAAATTCTGTGCTCTGTCTTGTGACAAAAGAAGAGATGAGCAGGCAGAGAGTCCTAGCAAGTGGAAACCATCAGCCTTCTCCAGTGAGTCTTGAAGCACTGGAAAATAAGGCTCAGTTTGGTTAGATCAAATGGCTTTGTGTAGTCATCTATTCCATCTGCACTTCAAATGAAGTGGTAATCTCAGACTTTACATCAAGTGTTTCCCCTGTTTCCATATAAACCAGACACACAGGGTTAGCAATTTTCTGTTAAAAGTTAATGCATTCTTCTTCACAGCAAAACTTAGTCTCAGATGTATATATATATGTGGGAGAAAATCTGGAAGGAAAAGTCTCCTGAACTTTTTTGTATTTCCAAAATGCCTTGAAGGGAAGCTTAGCTCAGCTGAGTTCTTACATTGTCTGTGGCTGCATGTAGCACTGAGCGGTGGAAAAATAGATTAAAATGTTCCTGCAACCCCAGATGTATTAGAATAGGCATTCTGTGCTGATTGCCTTCAGAAACACCTGGTTTTCTCTGTAAGCTCTTGAAGAGAGGTTATTGCCTACTGGTGCAGGGCCAGAGATTGGTTGGGGAGGCACACCCTGGGACCAGGCCAGCTGCACTGCCAGAATGGCGAGATGGGAAGGGATCCACAAGGAGTCAAACTGGGACTCAGACTCTTGCCCTGCATTTGGCAGCAGCTGTTGTGTCTGGGTGGGTTGAAGCTCCTTCAGAGGGTGCTCCAGGCCCAGCCCTTCCCTGCACAGCCATGTCCTCCCCCTCCATCTTCTGTGCCAGGCCCTGCTCATCCAGGCCTCCGTATCCCACCAGGTTTTGCTCCTTCAGTACCTTTGCTGCTCCCTACAGTTAATGCTGGGGGAACTGAATTGTCCAAACTTAATTATTTCTGCAGATTAAAGAAAAAAACATATTAGACTATAAAATGCAGCATTTGCTTATATATTTTGTACCTAACATATTGCTAGAAACAAAGAAAGCTGAGCTAATCTCCAGTAGCTTCTGCCTTCCTAAGGATACCATGCTGGATCAGTGCTGTCCTCTTTTTGTCTGAAAAGGCTGTTCACCAATTTGTGCTGCTGAGAGGGCTCAAACAAGAAAAATCTCAGTTCAAAATGTACGTGGACAGTGATGAAAAGCACTGCAGTGATTGAGTATGAGGGAAATTTATCTTCATTATTAGGTTACATTCATTAAAACTCAGTACACATAAGGATGATGGATTCCTTCCTGCATGAAGAAACTGCTGCATCATAGTAACTTATCAATCTTTTGAGACTTTAATGCATGGTCATCATTTTGCTCTGCATTTAATTAATTTTTCTGTTTCCTTTGGCACTCCAAACACAGGTGAATTACAGAGAATCACTCACCTGAGCCAGCAACTTGAGAGTTGGAATTCTCACCAAAATTTAAAAAAAAAATTTAAAATTAGAAAGTGTTATGTGCATTATTATAAACATTAAAAAGTATCTTATAATTTTCGTATACTGACACAGCATTTATCTTTGAGACCTTGCAGAAGTATGCTTTTATTTATATAGGAAGAAATTCCTATGGATTTAGGATTTCTATTGCTTCTAATAAAATTAATATTGTTGTGTGGTAATCTGTTGTACTGGGGGACAAAAATAGTGACTGTTCAGATTTTAATTCAATGGTGTTTTTTAATTATCCATCTCTTCCTTTTACCAAGTTAACTTAGTTTACTAAGTTGACTTAGTTAGCCTTTTGTAATGATAGGGTATAATTTTAATAATACGTTTCAGTCGAATACAGCTTTGAGAAACTGCTATTCCAGAGCAGCTTCCTATGAAATGCTGGTATTCTTACTCATAAAGGCATCCAATTGGATGAATATTATAGATATCCTTATGTTTTATAAGCTTAAAAGTGCTTTTATTTTAATCTCTATTATTGGTTAGCTGGAATATCTTATGGTTGGTCTCAAGCACCATAAGATTTCTATAGCTGCCTAAGTGAAAGATAATACTGCAATGTAGGTTGTGTATCAGTGATCCACCAATGATGGTAAAATTAATTTCTTTTTAGGGGAGCCCACACATTTTACATGTTTTATTCCTAACTCCACGCTTGTTAAAGTTACTTGTTATATAATTAAATATGCACTATAATATCTACATTAGTAGCTTCAGATGCAAGAGAGCTACTTTCTTCACATTCAAGTGTTCTCTTAAAGTTTCATAAATATTCCAAATTACCCAAAATTTCTTTTTGATGATAGTTATTCCCATGGAACATCAGAAGTATTGTGTGTGGGGCCCATACATGAGTGACCCATTCTCCTTCAAAAATGGTGAATAAATAAGATTGGAAAAAGCAAATAGTTCTGCTGCATAGACCTCTGCAAATCAACCAACCTCTCCCACACATGGTACGGGGGGTGTATGAATAAAGCTGTTGAGTTAAAGTAGTCAATATCTCATATTTAATAGGGCTGAAATTCAGTTAACTGGGTTATCTGGTGGACTTGTGTAATTGCTAAGTTTTTTTAGTTATCCAGAGGTATCTGTTCCTTGTGGATCTATCATGGTAAGTTTAAGATGCAGATCACGTGTGCTAATCTGAAGCAGGGTATATATAAGCAGCCAAATTCAGCCATATTTCAGAAGATTTTAGTGAGAAGTGAGGGAATTTGTAAAGTAGTATTTTTTAATTTAAATAGAGAACTGAATAAAATGGAATAAGAAAAATAGATTATTTCAGAGCTACAAAAATTCTAGCAGTAGGGAAGAGTGGATGCTAAGTCTCTGGTGTCCACCAAGGAGAACCACGAAGGGAGAATAAAAGCAGCTCTCATATATGAGAGGAGACTGTGAAGCAAGAAATAATAAAGATGGTGAAATGGGTAGAAACGAAAACCAGGGAGAAACATGAAGTCTTTGCAGGAAGGTTTCCACTTAAGGACTGTGGATTTTAATAATTTGAAAGGAATAATTATTTTAATGTATTTCTGAATATTACCACAATTCTTCATTGCCATAATAACATAGCACAGTGATTAACCGCAGGGAAGAATTAAAATAATTAGCATAGCTGCAAATTAAAATTAATAACAAAGTTATCCCCAGATACAGTAATTTCTTAGTATGTTACTTTTTTCTTTTTTTTTTTTTTTTAATCTGTAGAAATTTAATAATGACTGGTGGATAGGACGATTGGTAAAAGAAGGCTGTGAAATCGGATTCATACCAAGCCCAGTCAAACTAGAAAACATGAGGCTGCAGCATGAACAAAAGGCAAAACAAGGAAAATTCTACTCCAGGTAACAACAAGAAATCATTAATCATAGCAACATTGTCTGTGACACAACTTGGAAATTGATGCTGTGTATCAGTCATATATATGCTTAATTATTGTTAGTGGCAGCTACAAATATTTCTGATCAATGAAGAAATTAATATATAATGAATTATATTAATTATATAATATATAACATTATTTAAAATATATTGTTAATTAATGAGATTATTAGTATCATTGCTGTTTGGGAGAAAAGTAGATACTTAGTTTGGCAATCTGTGGTGGCCTACCACTGAAATTGTTTCTTCCTCTTTTAGTAAAATAATTGCTAATATACATTACAGTAAGTGCATTTAATATGTGCTAGTAATTTTTTTTACTTAAAATTGATTTATCTAAATTCTTTAACATTTTTTAATTGTTTTGATGATCTTCCTCTTTCTAAAGACATTTTAAGCTCATTTTAGAAATTACAGAAAATGTTAAGATGAGTTTACTGGTAAGCCAAAGCCAATGCCTGTTAGTTAGCTCGTAGGGAAAAAATAGTCTTGTCAAATCCATTGCCTACAATCACAGCTTTTAAGAGCACTACATTTTATGATGGAAGTTTCATGTCAAGTCATTTGTTATCTCTGACTGCAGCCATCATTGCATAAGAAAAATGACTATTTCTAGATATTCTGAACAATATTACAAGATAGAACAATGTCACCTTTACTCTCAAATTCTTAATAAAGTAGTTTTCTAGCAACACTTGTGGAAGCAAATTGTTTTCCTTTGAGTATAAAGGAAACAAATATTCCCAGTGTATTTGAGTGGGATGGACCTGGAATTGAGCTAGGAACCATTTGGGAAGCCAGAAATGCTTTCCTATCTCCATAGGAAGGGCAGCAGTGTTTGTAGAGCATGTCTAGAGTAGGACACCATGATTGGGCAGGGCTCAGCTGCATTCACCAGCTGTGGAATGCCCTTCCCATAAGCATGCTGTCCTCAGCAGAAGGATGCTGGATTCCTTATTCCTCTAGTGACTCTTCTGGGACAGCCAGATGTGTCCCAGTGATTCGGTTCTTTTCCAAATCATAGAGGCTTCCAGTTTCCAGAGATTCTCACTGAAGATAACATTGTCCTACACCACAAATGCATTAACTTAGTGCTTATTAATATTTCAAGATAAAGAAAGTGGAAGCTAGTACTATCACATGAATTATTTGAAGACCGAAATAAGCTTTTGTACATTTTTTTCAGAGCTTTTCTCATTATGGTAATTGAAATAAAAAAGACTAGAACCGTTGTTTCATTTTCACAACTTGGATAGGTTTTCACAAAGCAAAACTTGACAAAAACCTTAGACTGCTTCAACTTTGTTTGAGAGACTTTTTTTCTTAGGTGCTATATTGTATTGAGAAAGCAAAAGAATTTGCATGTTAATTAAATTGAAAAGATGATAGACACAGTCTCATCTTAATTAGCAATTTATCAGTAACTCCTCAGCTAAGGAGAGATATGCTCACTGGCTTAAGAATTACTCTTATTAATGGGTAGTAATATTAATTCATGTATACCAGTAGCCATATTATTTACTGAATTGTATTAAGATCCTGTGGAAGTCAGAGCAGCAGAATGAATTACACAGCAGCACAGAAAGTATGATTGATGTTTGCAGTTCCTCAGGTCTCAAAATGTACACACATTTTGTGGGAGATGTATATTTTATACCTCTGCCAGAAATACTGTTTGTCTCACAGCTAGCACCTCATTTAGAAGGCAGATCATAAATAAACTAGATTAAATATTGAGAAAGCTACAGAACTTCAAACTAATGTATTACTTTACTCCAGTAAATCAGGAGGAAACTCTTCATCCAGTTTGGGTGACATCGTTCCTAGTTCCAGAAAATCGACGCCTCCATCATCTGGTGAGTAGGTTGTGAACCCTTTGGTGAATAGACTCATGAACCTAATCCATGTAAAATGCATGTACCTTTAGACCTCTTCTTCTTATTCCCCATTCTTCTTAGGTAAAACCTGAGTGATGTGTTTCAAGATAAGGCTCGTTTGGGGTGGTTTGAAGTAATGGAGTCAATACCAGCAAGTCCAGACAATGATGGAGCTGTTAATGCACAAAATTCCCTCTTTGCTTTTACCACATAGATCTGTGAGACTACATTACAGTAGGATAGTGGAAAGTTTGGTCTGGTCTGAGCACTCCTACTGAACAATAAATACTTTCTTGTACAGGAGAAAAAGCAGCAATAAAAATAGAAGTTCCTGAGAGGTTTCTGCAGTAGCATCAAGAAAGGCATTATATCAGGAACATTTAGTTTCACAATTCTGATCATGATGATGTGCTTCACAGAATTCTAGGATGCTGGATATTTTTTGCCTTTGACGAATTTTTCAAAAATACTTTTTTTTTACTTAGAGCATCAACATACAGATTTAACTTTAGATTTAACTTGAATCCAAATTCAAGTGATATAAAGCAAATAGGTGGCAAGCTGGGGGAGGATGCTGGCATTAGCTCCATTAAAAAAACACAGCAATAGATCATAAAAAAAACCCAATTGAATTCAGCTGTTGTGTTGCTGGATGTTTTATCTTCTCATATGCATTGTAAATACCTAGAAACAGAAAATATTAATGAGTGTTGCTAGTGCCATTTTTATTAGGGCAAAGACATGGATCTTCCAATTATATTCATTTATGTGGAGTCTGGTCTACAGAGCAGGCATCTTAAAATGAGCCTGAAGATTTTAAAGTATTTACTTGGTAATTTAAAAGGGAGACAGAGAAATTAAATCATGTTTTTGTAGTAGCTTCATTTAGTTCAAGCAATTTAAAAATCTATCTGTCTTGTGAAACCATGCATTTATTAGAAACAAGCAACTTTATTGCGATTGCAGTTTGTTTGTAAATATTCCACTTCAGTTTAACTTCTCTTTTATTTCAAAAATATTGTATTCATTTACTAATGTATGTCTGTAACAAGTGTGTAGAACACATCTTAATCTTTTTTTTTGGATGCCTTTAAATTGATGTGTTTATTGTTAAGGCCAACTTTTTCAACACCGGCATTTTTGTAGTAAAATTGTCCATTGATTCAACCCATGTTGTAATTTTATAGGTAGAGCATCTGAAATGCTGTGTTATTATTTGCTATCAAAAAAAAAAAAAACAGATCAGTACATGTATTTCCAGAATGTTGCACAGAATTTAGAGTTAAGAACACAGGTATCATTCACCTGCATTACCAGCTGACTGATTGCTACCCATCCTCTAATTTTCATTGCATTGAGTCGTTTCTTCAGACATTGTGATTCAAGGCACATGGTTTTCTGGAGAAATAAGGAAATCTGTTAAAGTTTATTCAGTTACAGTGAAGCTTTGGAAAATATGTAGGGATAGTGCACATTAACTTACTCTGTGATAGCAAGATTTTGAGTCTATAATAATTTTTTTTTTATGATGTCTTAAGAAAGGTGAAGGAGGCATAGTTTGTGACTAAAACAAGAATTCAAGTGACTTTGAAACACAATTCAATTATTATTCCCACACCTCCTCTCTTTGAAAGTATAATCAATTACAAATACACCAATTATTTAATAAATTGAAGAATACTAACTGAATAAGTTAGTTTTATTTTTTGCTTTGAGTCAGGGATGGTTTTTTTCAATATAAAACAGTGCCACTGAAAAACCAAACCAAAACAAACACACAAACAAGATGAAGAACCAGTGAAAAACAAATGAAAGAGAGGCTAATATCCATTTAAATAATCAATATTGATATAGTAAAAAATCCATACAGTCCTGTTAGGCCACCAAACTGGTAAGAATTATGCTGAAAATGACTGAAAAGATCCCAATGAACTAAAGATATTTAACAGTAAAAGAACTGTCACAGGAGATGTTCCATAGTATGAAGACTTAGAATGAAAAAAGGAGATACTGTTAACTAGCTGATCAAATTCTGCATTTCTTTCCTACAGGAAAAGCTTAAGGTAACTGATTTTTCTTTACTGACAATTTTGGTTGAACATAGTACCAAAGGAGTTTTAATATGTCTTATTGTGAGTGATTTACAGTATCTGTGTTGGCCTGTATTCAAGAAAAGATAATATGTTATTTTTATACTTATGAAGAGGATGAAGGAACAGTGTTGCTAGAAGAAAATGTTACATGATTTCTGTGTCTGTTCTTAGGAGCAGGATTATAGAAACTGGATGCGGATCTACTTATGAGGTTTTTCCTGGGAAGGACAGACTCAAAGGCACAGTAACTCAGGGAGTGTCAGGCATCAAGGCATTAGATCTGTGGATAATTCACATGGGAAAATGTACTTTATGAGATCACTGCCTCAAGTATCTGTTACATCAGTAGCTGCACGTAGGCTTGACAGAAATATTTATTTGTTACATAATTTAATAGCACATGCCACTGTATTAGTTGATGTCCCACTCATGAATCAGATGAAATCAGGTCACTAAGATGGTTTCATAATAGTTTGGAATGATTAATTAAGGGTTTGGATAAAGTCAATACAAACTATTCTGCTTACAGATCTGTTTAGGGTTAGCCTCAGTTTGACATCAGGGCATGGCAAGATAAGTGTATGTTACCAGGGGGAGTGGAGAGAGGTGGGTAACGTCTTCACACATGAGGGTGGTGATGTATGACTGCATATGGTTCACTTTTGGGCATCTGCTTGCTTTCTGAAGACAAGTTTAAACCACTACTTAAGATCAGGATTCTTGTTGTAAACGAGAAAGGTTTTATTTGGTTTTGTTTCGTTTTACCTGTCGTTGGCAGGTATCTGTTCTACTCAGCATTCAGGATAATATGGCTTTGTGTTTTGAAAGTGTATTTATTACTGTGAGGATTCCTGTTGAAACTGTTATTACTTACTTGCTAAAAGCCACATAATTTGTGGTTATGGTATAAGTATTTTTGGTTATGTATTCTTTTGGGGTAGAGATTGAACAGCAACGGTTTATTGTATTCACTTCCATTTTACCCTGCCTACATCCTGACTCTTTACTCAGATCCATGTCTCGGAGCTAAGCTGGGATAAATTTCCTTTCTTCTGCTATCCATTCTTTTTAGTTTTCCCTATTAGTAGATCTATGTTTAATTATTCCTAATAAATGTATCTTATGAGTACAATGCATTTTTATTTCAAAGAATAAAAATGCAATTGTAGTCCATCCCTAGATAAATGTAGATAACATTATACCAATATCTGGCTGATTTTGTCATCAGAAGTGATTTTTCTTCTAATTCTTCATTTCCCATAGACACAGTAGTGACATTTCAAATTTCAATTGATGATACCCATTTGCATTTAGTGTTCATTGCTATAAAATAATCCAAATGTTATTGACCAAGTTCTTTTGTTTACATTGGTGGAAGTCTTATCCATTCAAATGAATATTTTGGATTTACACTGGTGTAACAAGAACGAACTTGGCCATTGGTCTATTTTGTAAATGTTGCAGTAACTGTTACAGATCGCCTTCTGTCTTCGAATCCTAAAGTACTGCACCTTTAAATTTTTCCCTTTGTTTTATTGTGTTTTTTTCCTCATGGTCAACTTTATTTATTTATTTTATTTATTTATTTATTTATTTATTTATTTGCTTACTACTCTGGACCGTTTTATTTCTCTTTACCTGTAATTTCCTTTTTAACCTATCTTTACTTTCCCTGTCATCTGATAATTCTGAATTGTTTGTCTGTATATAGCTGTAGACATAGATGCCACTGGCTTAGATGCAGAAGAAAATGATATTCCAGCAAACCATCGCTCCCCCAAACCCAGTGCAAACAGTGTAACATCACCCCACTCCAAAGAGAAAAGAATGCCCTTCTTTAAGAAGGTAACACCAACTTCCAAGCTCCCATCTGTCCACCTGCTCACCTGCACTGCGTCGCATTTCTAGTCCTGTTAACTGTCTGCGTCCTTTGACAAGCCAATAACATGCATGCTTTGTTGTTCTTTGTTTCTTTTCCATGCTGCTGTAGCTAAGCAGAAGCAGAAATCGGTAAGTTTATATCGACATCGCCTGTGTTTATCCTGCCACTGGCATCATTAGCATTATAACTCCAGATTAACAATGCAGCTATTCTAGAATTAATGATGAAGAGATGTATTGAGCTGATAGTGGATTCATTACAGGAAAAGAGGCAAAAGTTCTGTGTGTCTGTGAAACTCTGCTACATACTTATCCTTTTTGATGGAATAAAAGGACACACTTAGAAGGCCTTCTAAAATGTTTGAGAAAATTATTTCTAGCATTGTAATGCACCTCTCTAGTGCATGTTTATTCTTTCTATATCCTTCTCAATTTTTTTTTTCTCAGTCTGTTGAAATCATTATTGGAATCTATCAGACACTCAGTTTGGACTTTGGAAACAAATTGTCAAGTTCATTCTATTTTTAATTTAGTCTATACTTAAACTTCTAATTCACTAGGTGCAGTCTGCAAGTGCACAAGACCAATGGAAAACCTCAGACTTGTTTTGACAGTTTACTTCAGGTTTTTCCTGTTGTCATGTATAAATTATCAGCCAAATGTTCTTGCCATCCATCAGTGAGACTTTTTTAGTATCCCAGCTATTGGAAGTGGTACTGGTGGTTCCCAGGAGAGCCAATGTCTCTCCATAGATAACCTAGATAACTACAGAATTATGCAATTGGCATCCTGTTGCAAAAAGCTGCAATAGGTTTCTAGGGCCTTTGCTGGAAGAAGTTAGCAAGACATTAGGTAGCAGCCAAACTATGTAGTGAAATACCACATTTTGACTGTTTTGTTTTAAAATCTGTAGTCTTCATAGCTCTCATTCATTTGGTTTTAACCACTCACTTAAATCTGCAGGTAATAACTGACTGTTATAGTGCTTAAGCAGTGCCAAGTGACATTGTTGTCCCTGCTGTGGATGCTCTTGTGTTTAATAAGTAGATCTTTGTTTCTGTCTCTCTTTTCTTGAACTCTTTTACATAGTATTGAATCCTTCTCATTTCCAAAGTCACAACTCTTGGCTTTAGTTTGGTCTGTTAAGCCTGGTGTAGAAATCAACAGCGGGTTCTTGCTTCTGAGTAATTTCTTAATCATATTTTTGATTGGATAATACATGCTGGCATGTATTGGATGCTGTCTGCATAAGCATCTTTCAAAGCTGCAGCTTCCAGATGAACCACCTTAGACCTGGATGAGGGTTAGTCCCACATCTTTCTTTGACTCTGTGGTGCCTCTTTTCTTCCATATCAGAATCATTACTAGTGTTAGTGGGGTTTGTAATACTGACTTTTACACTATGTACTGGATGGCCATCCCAAAGTAATCTGCATAGTCAAACCACTGAGTAAATGCCATATGTTCAAACCTGCCAGTTTTTATTCTGAGTTCATATTTGAACTTGAATCTGCAGTGAAAGCTGTATAGTTCAGTGCCAGTCTCTTAGAAAATATTTGATTCTCTACTGCTAAATTAATGAGCTTTAATGCTTCCATTAAATAACTTCTACTCAACTTTCTGCTGACAGCTTCATTATTTCAAGCTGTAAAATTTAGAGAAAAAAAATGCCCATTGCAACAGAACAGAATTTAAAAATACCCCATATTCCATCAAATAAGGTAATTTCTGTGCTTGCCCTGGTTGTCAAATAGCTGGTTAACTTCTAGCATGAATGCCTTTGGTTAAGTCAGCCATATTAAGACAAAGATCTTTTACATCAGGGCACTCATGCTAAAAGCACTTGCACAACTGTAATGAATTTTTCTTCGAATCTGTCTCAAATATGCTTATCAGATTATTAAAAATGTTTGCAAGAACAGTGGAGGACTGCTTTTGGATAGAGGCCCAGCCTAATTGCAGGGGTTTGCTTTGAAACATGTTGAGTCAGATTCTGTGCTGTGAAAAATAAATTCGTTTCACATGCTTATGATGCCTTGGGCACTGGTCTTCATTCTCATGTTATTAATTAGCTTTTGAAACTACAGGTAACAAAAAATAAATTACATTGAGGGACATTCACAAAAATATTTTCTGTGTTTTAGACTGCTTTAGACTGCTGCTTGTGTAGCATTGTGTGCTGTCACTGTATAAATGTCTGTCTTTGTGGGTTTGTGTTTTGGAATGTATATACTTATTTTAATGTTATTGCGAAACACCTTGGGATACATTGAGTTCTGGAACAATGAACAATGTCTGTATTCTGTGATCTTGACTGATGTATTTGTACTATGTAAGCATTTGAAAAATAGATCTGGCATTTCTTTCTCTGTAACACCCACACATTTCTGGGTTTGGATTTCAATCTTTTATTCCCAATACAAAGATAAACCAAAACTTTCCTTATGAACAAAAAACCTCTTTTTGATTAGACCCCATTCATGGTGATATATATTGAACAGCCACTTACTAAAAAAGAAAAAATACCAAACTTAACATTTTACTTCTTTTTATATTGTATTGTGATAACAATATAAAATTTTTGCAACCCTTAAAAGGAGGCAATCTATTTTATCTTTGTATGCTAGAATACTTTTTTAGAAATTGTGCATGATACATCAGTTGGTATTTTGGTAAATATGGTACTACCAGAATCCATTCTTGGGTGGTGACAAGAACTTCCCAAAGTGGAAGAAATGCTATCCCAAGCTCTGCTTATGATAATTTTCTAGAAATACTAACTTGATCAGTCATTATTTTTATTTAATTTGTAATTGAATTGTGGGTGCTAATGCAAACGTCAGACTGAATGCTGCCATGGGAATTTGCAGTGATGTCACAATGTTTTTTCAAGCAGTGGGCAAATCTGAACATTTAAAAAAAAAGGTGCATTATGCTTTTCTCATCCCCTTTTATTTTTCTCTTTCATAATTTCCTATATAAAATTTCTGTTGAAAACAGATGTCACAGCTGTAGAATTAACCATTTCAATTCATTAGTTGTTGGAAATGACCTTTTCAATTTACCAGTTAGGAATTATGCAGTGGGAAACGTGCATGACCCAGAATAAGAGTTTTTAAATATCCAAAGTATATATGAAAACAGTAGGAAACCCTAAAGTCAAAGAAAAGTTTTTTCAAAAGAAATCCCTGAACTTCTTTTGTCCTTATCTTGTGCTACCAGTTCCTGGGAAAAGTTAATGAATCTGAGATTCCTGTGACATTACTGGAAATTCAGAATTCCTAATACTTAGAGTGTTTAACACTTTGTCTAGGTGTTGTGATGGTGAAAACTTTTTCTGTTTTGCAGACAGAGCACATCCCTCCCTATGATGTAGTGCCTTCTATGCGACCAGTAGTTTTAGTGGGGCCTTCTCTGAAGGGATATGAGGTAACTGATTGTTGTAAATAGTTTCATTTTTTACAAAATGCTGTGCTTCATTTGTATTTGATAATTTATAACATAGGCAAACATCAGACAGTTTTTACTCCTACTGAATAGCTGCTCATTTTTATTTTACTTCATCTCAGAATTGAGATTAAGAATAAATTCCATTCCAATCCCATTGTTTGGATACAAGATTTATTGTCAGATTTATTCTATAATATTCTTAGCATTTAGTATTATGAATTTCCTATGCAATTATTAATTTGTTGTTTTTTTCCTTCTAGGTAACAGATATGATGCAAAAAGCATTATTTGATTTTTTAAAACATAGATTCGAAGGGCGGTAAGTACTTTGCAATGCAAATATACTTCAGGTTCCATTTGGGTATTACAAGGTTTTTCAGAAATTATAACACTGGACAAAATTAGAAATGACAGCTAATTCCTTGATCAGTGGACTATAAGTGTGGATTGGAAGTTTCCCTGACAGAGCATGCAGAGGCTGTGTTGCAGTGGGAAGTGTTCTGGGGCATATATTTGTTGAGAGTGGAAAAAAGGATGTCTTCTTCTTGAGGACTGTGACATTCATGCTCCAAATTGCTAGATATTTATCTACAGATTAAAAAGTGATTTTAAATATTTTTCAAGTGATATCTCATCAATGCTTCCTACGTTTTGAGCAAACTGGCCAGAGCCACATTTCCTCCTCAACTCTACTTCCTCACTTGACATCCAACTTGGAAAGAGTGGTGTAGGATTCAGACTATCTGGTGTATGGGATTGTCAGACTTTTGATCCCTCAAGATAGGAGCTTGGTTTGACAGTAGTTGTGGGCTCTGTAGTGGGAAGTTTCAAAAGGAGTGGGATGAGGGGGAAGGGCAGGGCCCTACCTTGCTGAAATACGCTCACCCTCGGCAGCACGCCGGCTGCACTCGCTGGGTTCTGATCCGAGTGGTTGCAGCACATCCACTGTAACACAATGGGATTTGTATTTGAGCCTTCAGGTATCACTGTGGTACAGATGTCAAATGATAGTGGCATGATGTCAAATGATAGTCTGTCTCTAAAAGCAGTGCTGTGGTCTATAACTCCAACATCAGAGACCCATGGAGCAGAGACATCAGATGCATTCTCCAACATGGTTATATTGGTATTGGATCAAGCTCCAGATTGATATGTCCTAATGGCTTGACTTTGGGAGGAAAAATTGTGAAAACAGGAAGATGTTATAATAAAATCTGTAATTTCAAGGAATGTTCTATTTAGTTTGGAAGTGGTCAGATCCATAACACTATTTTGTGTGTTCTGATGCTGTCAAAACTTTAAAGAGGGAGCTTGAGGTTTTTTTTCAATAGCTTCAGTTCTTTAAAATACCACAGATTGTGGTTTAAGCTGGTGGATTTTCTCAGTCAGAATAATGATGTCAATACCTAATTTAGTAAATATTAAAGTAATTTACTAGTTACTTTAGTAAATTAGTCAGGATTGTCAAACCCTAGATAACACACCTTCAGAATTGGAAGTTAACAAAACATTTGTTGCAAGCAGAAGAAAATTACTGCATCTTTATATCTTTAAATATTTTAGAGCATGTCAGATTTTCAGTTGTAGATCCAACTGTGGCAGGGTGAATCCACAAATACTCCAAAAAAAAATTGTGTCTATAGTAGCAGATTTGAAGCATCCCAAACTTCAGTAGCCATTGGAATCATTACTTAAGGTCCTGAACAAATTTACACCAGAAATTCTCAGGTTCATGCTACTGCTTTGTGCTGCCATACTGTTGTCCCTGCTCTCGTTGCAATTGTTTTGCAAGATTAACATAAACACTCTTTGTTTTGAGAGCAGACTTGGTCTTCCTGATGTGACGTTTCTCAAAGACGTGAAAATGTCCTCAGAAAGATGGTAAAAAGTCTTAAAATTAAAAATAGTATTTTTCATAGACAAACAGACTGATAAATCTGGCGTTGTTCAGTATACCATAATTTCATTTTGAAAGGCAAAAATTTACTATTGCCTGTAGGAAGAAAGACTGGCAGAAAAGAATCCAAATCAACTCAAAAAACCAAAAAGCTGTAAAAGTTTGTGCAATCCTTCCATTAGCAAATAAAGAAAACTAATAAGTATCCCAATATACGTTTGATTTAATTTTAAGACAAGTGGCATTATCTGTGAGGAGCTGTGCCAGAAATCACCATCTTTGATTATGCTTTTAGTTTAAGTTCAATCACCCCTAGATTTCCAAAATTATATTACTAATCAGTATTGTGCACATAATTCTGGTTTTTCATATTAACTTCTGGCTGTGTGACATTTTTTAGATAAGTGCATACACATGTTGAGTTCATTGGGAAATGGCCTATTGGATTACAGTTCAGATGAACAAACAGCATCTGACTGTGCTTGCTAGAGAGGAGCCCCCCACTTAGCAAATCTATTTCCTCTTTTAAATTGCAAGTAAAATCCTACAAGGAAGAACAGGGAATATCATCAGTCTGATTTAACTCTCAGCACTGGAAAAATGTGACCTCTAAACCTCATTAGACCAGAGAGTTTGAAAAAGAACTTAAGGGGGCATTTTGACCCTGTAAAGCAAAATATACCAAGGTAACTGTTTTCCTAGGAAGAAGAATATTCAGAAGGTTATGCAGCAGTGCAAACAACTGAAAGTAACCACTTCTTTCTTGGTTTATCTTTTCTCATAAACACAAAACTGAGCTTGCCAGATAGTCAACCTAGGCTTTTCAAGTATGTGCTTCTCCAAGTAACAGTTCCTATTTTTAGGTGCTAGCATTTCATTGCTAGCATGAATTTTTCTGGAAATTTATGGGTAGCTCTTGCACTCTGTTAGAAAAACACATTCTAGTAAGCTGAACAATAAAAAACCCAAACCAAAACAAGCAAAAAAACCCCTTAATTATATTGCTGGACTCATTTCCCTAATAAGCCTTACCTTTACCATTTAATTCTGCATATCCCTACATGTCTTACAGGTATGGCTGAAGTAAGCCAGGTTGTCATTCAGTATATTCTTGTCATTCAAGAAGTCAGGGAAAGGAGAAACCAGCCTGTTCATACTGGGGATACTGGTGAAATGACCCTCACCAGTCCTGGAGACCCCAGGGAAGTCCCATCTTTTGCAGCAATCCCTGACCTCCTCCTGCCTCCCCTCTCCTAGGCATGTGTAGGAGGGTGATTTATCAGTAGTTATTGTAGCAATATTAAGTTAGATAAAGTTTTTTTTCTGTTCACATTGGGTGAAGCATACTGTGCTGCTGAGAACGTAGTTTCTTGTAGTCTTAGCCATCTTCTAGTGTTAAATGAGACTTCTCCCCACATCCCTGAAAGCTAAATAACGCTCAGTGCTATTTTGCTGTATTTATTTTGCAGTATATCAATTACACGAGTCACAGCAGACATCTCGCTTGCCAAACGCTCAGTGTTAAACAATCCCAGCAAGCACGCGATCATAGAGCGCTCTAACACCAGATCAAGCCTAGGTAAGTACCTGCAATGATGCTGTCTACAAATTGCCTGTGAAGTATGCTACTCTCCTTCCATATGTGTAAGCTAAAAATAGCCTTCTCTCTGCTGTGGGAAAATCACAGTTCCCATAATTTAGAAATCCTGGCACTAGAAATCGTTTTAAAATCGCTGTCAGGTAAACTTCCAATAGTGCTGATTTTGGTTTATTCTGTTTGTGCTCAGTTTTCATGTTTCACTGTTGGCCTCAGTGGGGAGAGGCAGCCATCCTCATATAAAATCTGAAGACATGTTCTTCTGGTTAAATACTTGGAATTATATGAATATTATTTATACTATGCATGATTTTTAATGAGATTACTAGTAGTGATAGCTACTGACATGAAGCCTGAGAAAAATTATTGAAGTACACATTTTATGAATTTTTTATCAGTTTTAACTAATTGTAAGGTTGGTACAAAAAAAGGAAGAATGCAAAAAGGGAGATTTTTTTAAAAATTGTATAGCTACATTCATAGCCAAAATATCTGTCATCTTACGTGAGTCTTTTTGTACTGAAGCTTGTCCAGTTGTATCAATAATTAAACATTTATTACCTAGGAAAAAAAAAAGCTTAGCTGGGTAGTTGTAATTGAATGTAGCCATTTACAGTACAGGTGGCTGCCCTTGAACTTCCCATCGCAAGGTGTCCTTAGAGTCAGGAGGAAAAGGTGATCATTTTGGAGTCTTAATTCCTGACTGCCTTTGCCTTTCCTCTTGAGTGAGCTGTATCCAGGACTCTGCTGCTGTCACTGCTGCATTCCCTGTGTAGAGACACCTGGAAATAGCCAAGAGGTCTCAGGGAAGGTTCCCTGTCCATGGCAGGGGGCTGGAGCTAGATGACCTATCAGGTCCCTTCCAATACAAACCATTCTATGATTCTGAGATGAATCCTGCCAGGAGTCTACATCTACATACTTGTGTAAGGCTTGACTGAGATACGGGACAAAATCCCATAAATCCCATAAGTCCTGCACAAGTCCCCCGTCAAATACCAAAAAAAGGGGAACTTGCTACATCCCAGGTGAATACTCAGTCGTGTTTCTGCCTTTACAGAGCTGCAGGTTCCTCTTAGTAGCCTTTGACAGAGATTGGTTTCCCCTGAACACAGCATTGCATCTTGAAAAATTGTAAATTTTGTGAAACAAGAAAGTAGTTTCATTCATCCTATTAAATCAGGTCTTGTCAGTTATGCAACAAAAAAATTTCCAACACCTGAACTGTGACTGAATATTTAATATTTGCCTAGTATAGTAAAACTTTTTAGAATAAGCTTGTCCACCTTAAAAATTTTTACTTCCCTTTCTTGAAAGTTTGTTTTGTAAAACCTTTGCTTTCAGCTATATGGAGGCTGTGAATTTTTTCTTGAAAGTAGTCTGTAGCTTCCAAGTGTGTCTTATTTTAAGTGTTTTCAAATATGAAAATACAATGTACTGTAACAACATAATTAATATCTTTACACACAAGAATATTCTTCTGTGTGAATTTCAGTCTTGTCATCAAAGACTGTTTAATAATCTAATGAAAAGATAAAAGTGTCACTTATTTTGACTAGGACTGAAAACTGGTAATAAGTATGAAGGCTAACTAGTCATGGAACAGAATCATGATGATTAAGCCTCATCAGCAAAGCTTATGCAATTTTGCAATACTGTAGAAGTATGTGCAGCAGTGAAAGCATATCATTAATTTCTCATATATGTGAAACACCTATCACAAAATTCTATACAGGAAAAAAAAATCAATAAAAATTAAATGTTGCCCAATCTTGTACACCTTTACCTCATGTAGAACTGTACTCTTGAGAGCATCAACATTTTATCTTTGTGTCAAGGTTCTTTTTTAGATGGAGGTATTTAAAATGGGAGTTCTGACAGAGCCTCAGTTTGGGACACCCAAAACATGACAATGTTTATATATATATATATGCAAATATGTGGATAGATAGGTAGATGTGTCTCTGCAGTTTTTGTAAGAGGCGTGTTATTAACTAAGATTTCCTGCTACATATCAGGTTTTCAGTTGCATATAATTGTTCTAAAAATTAACTGATTTATAAAATAACTTCAAAGACCTTTGACCAGAGCAACTGGGTCATTCTAGCATAAAGTTAGGGAAAAATTAATTTTACGTATGCGAAAATATTCTCAAACCCTTTTCTTTCAGAAGCTGTAATACTTCCATTGTTTTAGTAATCTAACAGGGTTTTGAAATTTGGTAGTGAATTGAACAAAATTTCAGTTACGTATTTCTGGGCAATTTTATGAAACTAATGAGAAAACTTGACCAAATTATTAGAAGCTGCTTTTAACACATGCCAAGTTTTGCATCTGAATTGATTGAAGACTCAGCTTTCCTTGGGAAGGAAATGCTGAGCAGAACCTGCTCCCAGCAGGCTGAGTCAGGGCAGCCAAGCAGCAGTGAGGTGAAAAGATGCTCATCTTTCAATTTGCAACCCCTCCTTTGCTGTGCAGCATGGAGAATGGAATAAAAAGTCATTTACTTGAAAGATGTTCACCTGGAGGAATAAATGGCAGGCCAGGCTAAGGCAGGAAGGCAAGTAGTGAAAATCCACTATGGAAAAAGTCGGACATATGGAGAAGGAGTTGGGATAGTCCAACCCACTGATAAAGCACCTCCAGGTCAGTGGTCTAGGCATGGGATAAACCATGAGAGGACAGAAATCAGACAGGAAGTCAGGGAGGGACGTGATGTGGCAGCAGTGTCAGGAGGAAAACTGAGATAAAATAAGCTGGAGTCAGAAAAGGTAACTGCTTTTGTAAGACAGTGGAAAACTCTTGCAGAAGGCAAAAGAAAAAAGTACAAGGCATGTTACAGCCTGTTCCCTTGCCTATCTGCAATGTACCTCAAGGCAGAAATAAGAGTCAGAATCAAAAAACATCATTGTAGTCTGCTGGTAGGTGACAACACACCACTGCTGTGAGTATTTAGTTGGCTGAAGTAGAAGAGGTGATTGGCAATATCACTATATAGTGGATTTTTTTTCAGTTTGCGTGATGAATTTGCTATAAGTCAACAAAATATTCTATTAAAAGAATATTATTAGTTTTACAAATTCAAGCAGTGCAAAATAAAGGTTAGGAAGTGATAATAAGAAGGCTAATTGTGCAGCATTTTAATATCTTTAGGTTATATATGCTGTGATCCAGTCTTTGATCAAATATTTACAGACTACTTTTCCACCAGTCCTCTGTCTTAATATTTCTGATAAATGTATAAAACAGGGTGGAGAATTGGAAGCAATGCAATTGCCCCAGTGCAATAGTGGCTTTTGCTGTTTCTGATACAGAACTGCTGCACAGTACTGGATTAGTTATTCACAGACTTTATGAAGATGGCTATTTTTTCCCAGTGTTCTTTGCATGCTTCAAGCATCTTCTGTAGAAAGACTGAGTGTTGTAGCTGAAACAGAAGTTCAAGCTTTGGACCTGTCAAATAATAGTGTATACCATCAAAACCAGCATGTTGCATGGTAATGGACTGCCTCTATCCCCCTGGAGAGGGGGGATAGAAAACAGGCAGTCCTTTATGTAGTACTGGAGCTCCTCTTGGGAGCTTGTAAAATGCCAGCCTTGTGGATCTTCATTCCCCAGAAGTTCTCTTATTTTAGGCTCTACTCTTTGCAGACATTTAACTGGGGAGGAATTCTTTTCATTCCCAGCCTAGCTCAAAGAATTTTTTCCTTCTCTCAGATCAGTACTGATACTCTGTACTGACAGTACAGAGCAGCATCAGGAATGTCCTGAGTCTTAGTACTCACTTCTAAAAGAAGCTTCAAGGTTATGTTCCATTTTGGAAGAAAGAATCCCCAGGAATCAGGATTTCCTACATTTCTATTCTGAATATAATTTTTACTGGTAATTACTCTGAAGAATCAGACACTACATTTCTGAAAATTAATCTCCCCGAATTATTCATAACTTGTGATTATTCTCTATAATTCAGTTTTCTCTTTGGAATATACGAATAATTCCAGCTTCTCACCTAACTGGGATGTTTCAAAGGGAAAAATCTTTTTTTCTGCATATACCACCAAAGTAAGCTCCACAAAATAGCCTATAAATATTTTATGCATTCTGTTTTCAGAGAAAGATTAGAGCCATGTGTTCTAAATGAGATGTGAAACATGTATTTGACAATGAAGAGAAAGTAAATTATTCAGTGGCTTCTTATCAGTTGTCAGTGTATGGAGTTGCATACTGAATGAGAGAGCAGCCCTAAAGAAACAGCTATATTGTATGTTCCTGGATGTGCTCTCTTGGAATACAGATCACAAAAGATTTGGTTTAGGAGAGATATTTTGGCATTTCATATTTTATCAGCATTATCTTTGCAGCCAATAGTATTCTGTACTACTACAAGTCTTATAGACCCATCATTAAATCAGGACTCACATCACATTAGTTCTTTTCTAGTATCTGCTGCAGATCTGCTCAGAGTCCTGGAAAATGATTTTTTTCTCTACCTACATTTTCTCTTCTATAAAATGACAATTAATAGGGTCTTTTTCCCAAATCACTGAGGGGGGAATGAAAAAAACCCTAGAATTTCAGCAAATACTAAATTCTAAATTTCTGCTGGTTTTTTGTTTTGTTTTGTTTCGTTTTGTTTGTTTGTTTGTTTTTGTCCAGACTATCTACAATGACTTAGTTCTGGCCCAGTTATTTAAAACTGGTATTTATCACAAAAAATTTTTGTTCTCGTTAAGGAAAAACAGTATTTGTTTTGGTTTGTTGTGGTTTGCTCTGAAATGGCTTCCTGGCTGCACAACTGTGAGCTATGACATGTGGGGAGATGAGTTGCTCTCTTCTCTCTCCTCCTTGAGCAGTCATTGGCACGTGGACAGAGATCTACGTGGTTTATTCCTATATCTGGTACAACTTAAAAATGCCTTTATGCAAATATATATATACATATTTGCTATATATATATATATATATATATAGCAAATATATAT